TTCAGCCGTTTCGATGACACGGGACAAAAAGTGCCAAGAACGATAATTCAGTTTTTGAGAAAACGGAGTACCAGATTTGAATGATTCAAACAACATTTTACTTATATTGACGAAATGAAGAATTGATAAAATTTTTGGTAAGGTAGGTCTAGCGGTTTCGGAGATACAGAGAAAAAAGTAAACAAAAAAGATATTTAGCGGACGAAGATCATTTTACATTATGCACATCAGATTATCAGATATTTAATACAAATTTTAAAAATGAGTACTAATTTTGCTACAATTTTGTTGGATTCCGTACCAGGATTGTTAATTTTTAAAGTTTACTTATACGTTCAAGCGAATTCCAAAATTTCAGAAAAAAAAATCTTTCAAAATTGTCAAAAATATACAAATATTTTTTTTTTAATTTTATTTTCAATAGCAATTAGTATACAGGACAATTCTATGAGCTATTTGGTTTATGTCACTCACTCGCACACATACACACACAAATATATTTTATATAAATTTTAAATTTACAAATCAGTTTGTATATATTTCAAATTCGTTTTTCTAATCGTAAGAAAATATCATCAGATAGATTTATTCGGTACATCCTGCTAATGTAAACATTCTTAAGTGTTTTGAGCGATAAGATCGTCGCTGTATATTTTATGAACGATAAAATATATAGTGATTATAATTATCTGTTAGAAAATGTTTAAAACAATTGTTATTAATCATTGATCGATATTCATTAATTACTGATATATTTTCTTCGAATATTTAATTCTGCTACGGGAAGTACCAGCAATTTGTCTTAAGGCACGATGCCATGCATCACTAGTTACAGTGGCGGATCCAGCTTCAGCGTCAGGGGGGGGTCATATATGAAAAGTTTTTATAGTCCTCAATGAGTATGTAACAAAATATATATATATATATATATATATATATATATATTTATATATAAGATAGAACGGTGCTTAAAGTTTTGCGGGTAAAAAGGTCCACCACCGATATCTCTAAAACAAGTAAAGTTAAGGATTTCTTACCAACAATATTTGAAAGTAGAGGGAAAAATGTTCAATCAGCCACCACCCTGATTCTTACGACGTCAAAAAAAGCATTTTTACACAAGATAAATTAAATAAATATTTATTTCAACTCTGCTGGTGACTATTTTTGGACAAAATATCAAATCAAGATTATATACAGAGTAATCTCTGTAAAAAATGTATCTATAAAATTCATATTTTTCATTGGTCGAATAATGTAGCTATTATTTCGTTAAATCCCTTTAAAATTAAAAATAGTAAATTGGATTGTTTGTCCTCTCGCCGTCGGATTTTACCCCGCCTTTGGGGTAAAAAAAGACCAAGTGAAAAAAATTTTAAAAACAGCAAAAAAACACATGTTTACAGTGATGAATTAGCTGGAGGTTGTTTCAATACATAGTCAGATGGTTTTTTGTTTAATGTGTCTTATTGGTTGTTATGTTATTCGTTTAGTTTTCACAATATAATTGCTTAAATTTACTTAGCCTTACCTTATATATGTGTATTTTTTAAAAAATAATTTGCGTCTTTGACGTGAGTCAAAATTTGACCTTTTCTCGATGTTTTCTCGTCTGAACCGATGTTAAAATTTAAAAACTTTAAAACGAAACTGGATGAGCGCTTGCGTTGTTTAGTTTTTTGAGACAATTGGTCGATCCGTTTCTTTACTATTGGCATGAGCGCTTGCGTTGTTTAGTTTTTTGAGACAATTGGTCGATCCGTTTCTTTACTATTGGCAGAAAAGTGCAAAAATTATCGTCATGTTTTTGTCAAAAATTTTTAACCGTTTTTTATTCGATTGATATCATTTGGAAAAGAATGGTTTCTGTCGAAAATCGGTCAAGTCGTTTCTTTTTCATAATAGATTTTTTCGGCGATTTAAGTGAAACTTTGCATGACGATAGAGTTTCTGCTCTAAACGAACGTACTAAACTATAATAAGGCCTGCGACAAGTGGTTTTACTTATGATAATTAAAGTTTGGATTATTTGGCCTCGCTTTTAAAAAATTCACCGTGTGTATGTATTCGGCTTCGTATTTCCTATGTGTTCGTTTTCCGTCAATGTGTAATATTCAAACCATTTTTTAACTAGTTTGTATTGGTATTTTGCCTTTAGGCAAGTTACATGAATTTCCCGAAATGTGTTAATAATCGACTTAAACAGTAAAAAAGAAATTAATTTATGAGGAATTCAAGGTATTCCCAGTGGATTTACAATGTCACACATAATTGAAAACGAATACGTTAACTCGGAGTATTTTCTAAAGGCAAATTTTCAAAATTCAATAACTTTTATAATTGAACCAGTTGCCGTAGGATTTTAATGGTTTAAGACCAAGTACACTATCGATAAACCAAGTAAATCGTCTACTTTTAATTTTAACAAACGTCAAAAAAACTACTCATTTTCTCAAATTTTGATGAATTTTCAAAATTAAACTACTTGTCATAAGGCCGTAATATTTCAATAAGTTGTATAAGATCATGATATATATCATCAAAAAAGATAAGATAAGAATCGGCTCAAATATTTTTTTGAACGACGAAATACAAGCAAACGGCTCGGTAGATTTTCACCTAAAACTAATCAGTTTCATTCCCAACTAATATCTTTCGAACAGCTTTTGATTTTTCAGAATCGATTCGGTAGTTTGTGCTTAAATATGGACGAAAAGTTTAAATCTTTTTTCCAAATTTTAAAGAAACGGCTCGGCCGATTGTCGCACAAAACTGACAGGCGTTAGTAGTCCGCTTCAGTAAATTTCTGAAATCGGTTCAGACGTTTTTGAGCAATCGTCGATGAAAGGTCTAATTTTGACAAATGCCAAAAAAAACTATACTAATTTTTGCAAACTTTGACGAATTTTTAAAGCTAAACGAGTTGTCGTGTGGCCGTAATATTTTTGTATGATCTAGAAGGTATGGTATCTACAGTCATAAAAAATTTTCAACACTTTATTACAAGAAAACGGTCAGGCCGATCTCTACCAACAACTCATCACCACGATTTCCAATAAATATCTTTCGAACGGTTTTTGAATTTTCAAAATCGATTCAGAACTGCGGGCTAAAAAGTAGACGAAAATTTTCCACTTTTCTGCTATTTATAAGAAAACGACTTGGCTGATCGTCGCGCCAAATTGATAAACGCTAGTCCTCATCGCGATACATCGAATGGCTTCTAAATTTTTGAAATCGGTCCAGCCGTTTTTGAAAAAACGGCGATTTTCGGCAAAAAATCTGTTCACACACACACACATACTTTTTCCAAATCAGAATGGCTTGAAACGTCGAGAAAACATAAAATTAGCAAATCGGATTTTTTGATGAAAACATAAACTACCTTCGAGAAGTTAAAAATAACTACTATATTTGAAAAAAAAAATTGCAATAGTTTCCCACTTCCAAATGGTTTACACCGATTAGATAAAATTCTCTAAATCAGTCATTATTAACTTCCCGCACGGATCAACCGATTTGAATGGTTCAAAAAATATTCAATTCTTATTGATAGGGAGATATGCTGATTAGTTTTTCACAAAGACAGGTCCAGCAATTACGGAGATACGGAGTAAAGAGTGCTGAAAATGCAAATCGAGTTTTTGAGATAATGGAATATCCGATTTGGATGATCTAAAAAACATTGAGTTTGTAATGATTGTGAGATGAGGTGATTAGTTTTTGGCAAAAGCAGGTCCAGCAATTTCGAAGATACTGAGCTAAATGTGCAAAAAATGACAGTTTTTGAGAGAACTGAGCGGCCGATTTGAATGATTCAAAGAACTTTCTGCTTGTTTTGACAAAATAATTGCTTTTGAAAAAAAATTGGCTTAATTTTTTTTTCAAAACTTTTTTTTGTATATCGAAAATAATTCAGATTTTAATTTTAATTTAAAACTTATATACTTTAAATAAATAGTTTTAACTTTGCAATTCAGTTTATATAATTCTTATAAATATCAGACATTGTTACAATATTTATAATAACCTATTTGAAAACATTTAATATTTCTCGAACATTTCGCTAAGGTACGGGAAGTTCCAGCAATTTGCCTTAAGGCAGGATGCCATACACCCCACTAGTTTATATATTGATTAAGTCGTCTATTTACAGATGTTAGGATTACTGAAAGTTCATGCATAAGGACCACTCACTCAGTTTAATTTTTTGATTTTTGAATGAAATTTTGTTCCTAAACTGTAATAAAACATATATTTGCAATACGATTAAAAAAATCCTTAAATTTTAGGGTTTTTGACTCCGTCATTCGTCTACAATCAGTTAAATATTCTAGTTATAAAATGTGTTTGGTAACAAAATACATAAATAAAATCATTATGAAGTAATTTTGTTGTTGAATTAGTGTTTTATCTAAGTCCTAAAACAGGCTCAGGGGGGGGGTCATGACCCCCGTGACCCCCCCCCTGGATCCGCCACTGACTAGTTAACACGAACCAAAATGTTTTTTGATTCGTTCGAATCGGATACTTCGTTCTTCTAAAACCTGTCATGATCAGCACTTTTTTGCTTTGTATCTCCGAAACGGGTGTATCTTGATGCCAATGCCAAAAACTAATCAGCACTAAATCTCCCTAACAATAGAAATCGAATGTTTTTTAAACCATTCAAATCGGTTGATCCGTGCACCCAAAAACGTGGACGAAAAATTGTATCCATACATACATACATACAAACACACACACACACACATAATTTTTTTCTGAGGTATGCCAAAATGCTCAGAAACCTTCAAAACGTGAAGAAATGCAAAAATTTTCAATTTCGATTTTTGTACGATTACAATAACTTACCTTACGGTAAGTTAATAAATAAATAACAGCGCAACACAGATTTAAAACCTCTGGTGTGTCCATCGAGTTTGACACTTGGCGCTGATGGTCGCAATTCTGTGAACGCGTGCTTCACCGGCACGCAGTTTTTGTTGTGGTCGGTTAGAATACAGTCGTGGGGTTAATTTGTTTAAATAAGTTAAAAAGTATTGATTTAATTGTTTATTATGTGATTTAATGTGTGCTGAGATGCTGGATGAAAAATGTAATTGAATACTTTGTAAATACGTAGCAGAGCAAGCAAAAGAAGCATGACGTTTTAGACCTGTTGCATAACATGCTGGACGCTAATACTTGTAGACTTTTATTCATTATGGATTTGAAGTAAGTTATTAATTTTTTTTTGCTAACTACAATTATCACTCTTCAATAGCTCACAAATAACAGTTTAATCATTTTGCAAAATTTTACAAATTACAAATATTGCCATTATTAATTGCTCATTTTCAAACCACCATGACCATATATGATTGTCTGAATGTTGACTAACATTCAATCGTAACTTATAAGTTATATAAACAATAACTTATAAGTTATTGATTGAATGTTATTTTATTTAAGAGTTGTTATTGTTTTTTTATTTAAATTATGGTTTATGTAATTATTTTATATATTTTGCATAAGCGTTTACCATTTATACAATCGATATATGAAACTACTGTTGACTTTAATTTCAACGATAATACCTTCATGAAGTAAATCTAAATCAAAATAAAAATAAAATTAATTTAATTATATATATATATATATATATATATATATATAATTTTGATGTTTATCATATAGCATCATTTTTAACCAATATAATTGTATGTAATGAACATTTATACGATACTCAAGACTCAGTACGATGGCAAGAACTGTTATCGAAGACTTTTAAGTAGAACAATCATATAAAGTATTTTACCAACAAAACATAGTAACCTAAATGATAGATGTATATGTATATACAAATAATTCAAACATACTATAATTAAAGCGTGAACTGTACATTATGACATCAATTGCAATGTGATATTAATAATGTGTTTACAGTTTACTCGATAACAATTGTTAAAAGATAATGTGTTGTGATATATATATATATATATATATATATCACAACACATTATCTTTTAACAATTGCTATCAAGTAAACTGTAAACACAATATTAATATCACATTGCAATTGATGTCATAATATACAGTTCACGCTTTAATTATAGTATGCTTGAAGTATTCCTTTATTACAGTAGGATTGAGATATATTATATTATATATATATATATATATATATATATATATATATATATGCTTATCATTTAGGTTACTATTTGTTTTTGGTAAAATACTTTATATAATTGTTCTACTTAGAATCCTTCGATAACAGTTCTAGTCATCGTACTGAGTCTTTAGTATCATTAGAACTATTATATATATTTATATTGGTTTGAAATAGTGCTATATTTATGATGGATATTAATAATCTGTAAACAGCCCATATGTTATTCACAAATATGAAAAGTGAATCTGCTATCGCTTGTGGGTCATAATCTGAAATCGAAACAGCAACAATTTTTTATGACAATTGTTATCGCTTCACTTGTGTATTATATAATTACACATTAAATTATTTAATAGTTGAATAAATGTGGACAAATCTTAAAACTGTTACCAAGTCTTAACATCTCATCACAATTAATATATGAGATATATTTTCAAATCAGGCTTCAATTGTACTTAGCTTGAAGTGTTTTTTATTTAGAGTAATATATATATATATATATATATATATATATATATATGTATATATATTAAAAAGAATGTGCTGAATCAGGCAATATCACCAATTAAAAAAAACTAAAGCAATTAGGAAATCAGCTTTATTTGTTCTCCGTATGTTCTTCATCGAGACCGTCATTCAATGGAGAACTAAAAAGTTTTTTTATAATTAATTTAGAAAAACAAATTGATACAACGTATTATTTTTAAAGATAGGTACTTACATACAAAAACAACTACTAAGGTAAAAGACCCAGTTATTGACCCTGGCCCAGTTTCTGACCTTTTCAACTTTTTTTGGAATTAATTAAAAAACTATACATTTAATGTGAAAATAAATTTTTTCTTAATTGACAGTAATTTATTCTATGCCTCATTAATGTCAATTAAAAAAATATAAAAAATATTAACTAAATAAAAAAAAATTTTTAAACCAAAAGTGACTGTGGAAGCCATTTTTTAGCTTTAGTCTAAACAGTTTATGTAAGGAGCTACGACAATTGAGTTCGTGCACTAATTATGATGTAAGTACGAAAATCTAACTAAAAATATACAAATAAGTCAATAATTAATTAAAATTTATTTTAAAATATTTATAAAACATATTAAATTTAGTTTTATTACTGAAATTTGAGGGTCAATAACTAGGCTCAATTTTAAGTGTATGTCACAGTTGTTGACCCTGCAATTCTAACCTTGGTTATCTGTCACATGTTTTTAGTCACTTGTTCATTAAATGTAAAAATAATTATATTTATTGTTATCTTATATTTTTTTTACTATTTTTTGTAGTAAAGTGATAAATTTACATTTAATATTCATTGGTATAAATGAAAGATTCTATTTAAATCTTGTAAATACATCTTTTAAGTGATAAAATTATTAATAAAAAAATGACAGTTTTATCAACGCTTAAATTATGACTGTTTTAGTTTACTAATATTTCTATTATTATACAATTATACAATTACAATTAATTAAATGAAAATTAGAAGAAGAAAAGGAATTGGAAAAAGCTGAAAGGTCCAAAAATAAAGCCATCAAGGAGGCAGAAAAAATAATTAAAAAAGAAAAACTTGAAGAAAAAAAGAAACAAAAAGCTCTTAAAATAAAAAAAAAGTCCAAGTAATTTAAATAATTAATTTCAATTTTTTTGTTTGTGTAATATGTTATAACAAGACTTGAACTATTTATACGTTAAATTTTAACAAACTGTATATTTTTAGAATAAATATTTAATTTATTTATTTTAATAATAATTTCAGTTTATTTAAAATTAGTAAGCACTTCATAACCTAATCATGATTAAATTTGAGGGTCAGAAATTGGGCTACGGTCAGGGTCAGAAACTGCCACACGAAGAATTCTGAGGGTCAGAAACTGCAGCTCTTAATGTCAATTTTTAAAACGTCAATTTAAAATATAAATTTAGTTCAAATAATTTTTTTATGCACATTACTTCATTTTAAAAATCCTAAACTAATAGATAAAATTATAATTTTCTTCATTAAGTTAAGTTTTATATTAATTATTATAGTTTAACCTCCACCGTCACTCTAAAAAGGTCAGAAACTGGGCCCCTTACCTTACACTACACTAATTAACACAATTGTAACACCAAGCTAACAGTAGTTCATATATTTATAACTAATTATGAATTAGAGTTAAAAAATTAAATTTGTGTACATAGTTGTTGAAGTCTAAGCTCTGAATACATGTGTTTACAAAGATTTTTTTAAATTTGCAAACTGGTAGAAACATATGGTTTTGGAAAGTGATAAAAAAGGGACAGGCTTCATTCAGTAATAATATTGTTTGAAAAATGATCGAGGAATATTTTGTAATCATTACAGAGCGAGTGTCTTGTTAATTGCTTTATTGTTTAACGATATTACAACATTTACTAAATTTTTTTTTAAATAAATTGATTTCAAAACGTAGTATACTTGGGTTTAGGAAATCAATGTTATGCTGTTAGTTATTTATGTATTCTGTGATCATTGTTTTATTCTGATTCTTATTTTTTAAATTATTTTTTTTTGTTGAGAGATTATGAAGATTTTGGCCAGTTTCGCTAATGTAAAACTAAAATTAAATTTTGATAATTTAATTTATATACTAAATTACTTAAATTTTTCGGATTGAATTTAGATTTTAGTTTAGTAAATAAGGTCGAAAGAGTGTTATCTGAGGTAAAGACTACTCTAATATTATGTTCAATGAAGAGTTTTTTCCATGTGTAGTATAGATCGTTTATGAAGGGTAAGGTAATATTTCCGAGGTAATTTTCGCGGTTTGGTTTTCCAGTTGAAATATTATGGCGGTTTTGGAGGTATAAAATTCTGTTCTTCATAAATTTGTTATGAGACAATAGTATAGCATGATCTATTAAGTTGATAATGGTGTCTATTTTAGTAGAGAGAGGGTTGTAGGAAAGATAGTTTAGGTATCGACCTGAGTAAGTTGGTCCATGATACCAATTGATAATTGTTATTGTTTTCGCGATAAAGTTCTACCCATGTAGGAAACCCCCAGACTTGATGAAGGGTCCAAGCTTGGGCCAGTAATGGAAAACCTAGCTTCGGCATAACAGTATTGGGCCATGCGTGGGCCAGGCTACTTAACCCAGCCTCGGCCATACCAATGATTACCCAGACTTGGGCCAAGACTGGGCAACCCAGCCTTGGCCATGCCAATGATTACTCAGACTTTGGCCACGACTGGCCAACCCAGGCTTGGCCGTTCAATGATTATCCATGCTTGGTTCAAGACTGGCTAACCCAGCCTTGGCCGTTTAATGATGATCCATGTTTGGTCCAAGACTGGGTAACCCAGCCTTGGCCGTTCAATGATTATCCACATTTTAAAAAATCCGATATAAAAAAAATTCCGAGTTGAGTGATATGTATAGCACTATAATATTCCGGGCGCAGCGTACCGACTAGCAGTCCGACTCCCGAGTGGAAAGTGTTAACACATAGTTTTTCACACAAACTTTATTTTATATAGTTGCATAAAACATGACTCAACTTAATAAAAATTTATGAAGTTTTTTGACTATTATTTTCAGTCACTTATTTTGATTTCTTCATTTCATTTTTATTCATGTTGTGTTGTTGTGCAATACTGTGCAAAGCGCTCACTCTATTTGTTTACGTTATAACTAGCTGTAAGTGGAATTCTGTCTTTGTTAATTAATTAATCTTTAAGGCAATTAAGGCATCGTGCCTTAAGGTAAATTGCTGGAACTTCCCGCACCAAATATTATTTTTTTAAAAACGATTAACATTCTTGAAAAAATTTTACTTCGAAAAAATAAGATTTTTGAGAAACTATAAATTGGACAAAAAATTACTTTTTTTGAAAAAAAAATTAATTTTTTTTTTTTTTTTAATTTTACTTTATTTTGACATATTTTGAAAGATCTGAACTTTTTTTCAAAGCAATCGTACGGCTTTAATTGCATATGGAGACAAAATACAAGCGCGTAAGCGCCGCGTCGCCGTCTAACGGATGAACATTGGTACGGAACCCATAGGAATGTAAACAAAATTTATACTTAT